AACATAACAGGTTGTTTTCCATGCAATCCTCATATATAGCAGCTGTCCCAGGCAGTGGCAGGGACAGAGCATTAGTTTCACCCAGGAATCTAACCCTGCTGTTTGCAGGTGGTGTGAGGGACAGGATGGGAGCTCAGAGTCCCAGGGATAAGGAGAAAATACCAGGGTGATTTGATTCCCTGATATGACAGCTTCAGTGATCCAAGGAGCAGACCTGCCCATGCAATCCTCATATATAGCAGCTGTCCCAGGCAGTGGCAGGGACAGAGCATTAGTTTCACCCAGGAATCTAACCCTGCTGTTTGCAGGTGGTGTGAGGGACAGGATGGGAGCTCAGAGTCCCAGGGATAAGGAGAAAATACCAGGGTGATTTGATTCCCTGATATGACAGCTTCAGTGATCCAAGGAGCAGACCTGCCTGTGTGAGTTCCCAGAGTGGAGTCCCTGGCACAGGAGAGACATGGACCTGTTGGAGAGAGTCCAGAGGAGACACCAAGATGGTCAGAGGGATGGAGCAGCTCTGCTGTGCAGAAAGGCTAAGAGAGTTGGGATTGTTCAGTCTGGAGAAGAGAAGCTTTTGGGTGACCTCACTGTGGTCCTCAGTGCCTGAAGGAGCTACAGGAAAGACAGAGAGGGACTATTTATAAGAGTCTAGAGTGACAGGACAAAGGTAATAGCTTCAAACTGACAGAGGGCAGGTCTAAATTATTAGGAAGAAATTATTCCCTGTGAGGAGTGGTGAGGCACTGGCACAGATTGCCCAGAGAAATTGTGGACTCCCCATCCCTGGAAGTGTTCAAAGCCAGGTTGGATGAGGCTCTGAGCAACTTGGGCTAGTGGAATGTGTCCTTGTTCTTGAGGGAGGTTGCAACTAGGTGATCTTTAAGGTCCATTCCAGCCCAAACCATTGTGTGATTCTATGGTTCTATGTTATCTGGGTGGGTTACAGGGCTGAGGATGCAGAGAGAGCTGACACACCAAACTGGGAATGCCCAAAGTGCAACTGGTGCAAACTGGGTCCTTGCAAGCTCTCCCCACACTGCCCTCCACAAACACCCCTGTGGGTAATGGCAAATGTTTTCTTTGAGAAAAAAACCCACCGTTCCCACCAGTTCCAGATAAACTCCAATTTGCTTTTTGATGATTAACCTGATGACAAAAAGTGATTATTTTCCAGCTTTCACACAGTCACAACCAAAGGCAACTTTGCTCTGGGAAGTGTGAGCTTCTTATCAAGGCCACTCTGCCTACCCTTACCCAGGGACCTGCTGTGAAAGGATACATGGACATATGTGCCATTTGCAAGATCAGTGAAATATGTTGCACTATTTCCATACACTTACAAACATTTGCATTGCTCAGGCTGTGTGTGCTTATTTATCTGTAGAAGTGAGAGAATTGGGTTTGTTCAGCTTGCAAAAGAGAAGCTTCAGGGTGACCTAATTGTGGCCTTCCAGTACCTGAAGGTAAGGAAGTTGGAGAGAGAATATTTCCAAGGGCCTGGAGTGGCAGGACAAGGGAGGAGGGCTTCAAACTGACAGAAAGTAGGGTTAGGTTAGATACTAGGAAGAAACCAAACCATTCTATGAGATATGGACTGAAAGAGAAAAACAATCTGGCTCTGGAGAGGCAGGATGGTAAATACATGCCAGAACATATGTTGGCAGGCTACACTTCCAGCTGACCAGAACAAGGACCTTTTAAAGGTTTTTTAGATCTGTTACCAGTGCCCAAGCCTGGAAACAAGCAGTAAATATGGTCACATTACTGTGATTCTACTGAAATACTGTATAATGACTGGTTTGAGCTATGGTTTCCTGCTCTTAAGTATTTATGAAAAGGTTTTAATGAGTATTAATAGAAAAATTCTCTAAATTGCTTTCTTAGTTCAGGATTTGAAGGACTTTGGTTTGTACATGTTCTGCAATTCTTGTGACAAAGTATCAGACTCTCAAACAGCCTCATGAGAGCTAGTGACAGGAGCAAAGTTCTCGTGCAGCTCTGCTGTGATCCTCAGAACATCTTCCTCTCCTGCAAACACTATTTTCAGTGCACACTATTCATGTGCTTCCTCCCAGGCCACTGAAGAAGATGAGAACAGATGCAGAGCAGATTTCTGTATGTTTTGTGTGTATATATATATATATATATGCATATGTATATTCTCACACAATTTTACATATGTATTTAATTAAAGCAGTTTCAAAGTTAATTGCAAGATTACTGTGAGTTATACATACAAGAGAAAAACAGATCTGAGGAATGCTCTCTATAAGGATAAAGTTAATTTCAATACAAGTGCCAGAAGAAATGTGAACTTTGGAAATATTTTCAAAATTCATTAGTGATTCGTTGCAAAAATACATTTCGCTGTGGGAGGAATTCCAGTAAATTGGGACTTCAGCTCTGCTTGTTTCATGCTCTGACTGAAGTTAATGGGGCTATTCTTATGGGTAAAATGAGCTGGATTTGGTTCCAGGAACACCTGGCTGGACTTTCAAATGAACTTAAGGCTGCAATGTAAAACCTTTTCAGTGCTTGGAAAGGGGAATTTGAGCAAAAGGAGGGCACTAATGTGATTTGGGGGAGTCTGTGCAGAACATTCCTGGTCAGGAGGCAGAGATCAAATTTCCCTGAAATCTACAGCTCTGGGGATTGTAAGCTTGGTTTGCTGTATTTTTAGGTGGGAAGCCAGATCCCATTCTTTGTTAAGAAGGAGGTAGGTGGAAGGGGGAAGGGAATGTCCTTCCCCCTGGTAAAAATTGCCCCATCCTAGTGCTCTTAAATAGGAGTTGGTGGGTCTGTGTGTTACAGGAGTGAGTAATGAAGCATTAAACTCTTCTCACCAGGTAAATTTGTGGAGATGTGTCATCTTTTTGGCACTGTGACCTTTTTGGGTTTGCTTTGATCATTTTTCTCTCTCTCTCAAAATTTTTACTGTATTTGTAACCAGGTGTGAAACAGGTTCATCTGTTACAAGAATAAATGAATGAACATTGTTATAGTTTAGTTGTCTTTCACTTAAAAAGGACAGGAGGAGAGAACAACTCCTCACCTCAGCGTGTCCTACTGAGTCACTTAAACTCTGCACAAGCTGAACCAACCAAATAATGTGACCCACTGCTGTTTCTTTTCTGAGCAGCTGACCCAGCTTCAAAGATGTGCCTCATGGCCCCTCCAGCACGAGGATCAGGAGCAGTTTGTGGGTTGGTGCATGAGCCCTGCAGGACACAAGGACCATGAAGATGGGAGGAACCTGGCTGGCTCTGCCTGTTGGACACTTGCTGGCCCTGGGACACAGGCACTTGTCAACCAAATGGAGACAAATGGTATTGAAAAAACACTACTATTGCTGTTATTTTCTATCATCTAGGGGCACATATCTGCTTCTTCTCCACTCTCTGGCTTGTGAGAGCCCTGGGGGAGTCTCATTTAAGATGCTGAAAATGGGGAGGAGGTCTGAAGCATCACTCAGGGCAAACTGCTATCAGTGGATGTGCTTGTGTGGATTTCTGAGGATACACTACCTCGGGGGCAGATTGAAGTAAGCACACATGTGAGTTTGATTGCCAGCAGAACATGGGGATGAAACAATGAGAAATGCATGTGGGGGAGTGCCCTGAAATAGGTAGTTTTCAATTAGAGAAGCCCTGGCTTTAAATCCCCCTGCAGGGAGTTTGGTGCGCAGTACTGAAAGGAACCAGATACTGTTTTTGATTAATGTGCTTTCCCTTGTTTCTTTCAGATGGATTTCAGGAAGTTCAGGCTGTTTGTTTGCCTGGTAGGGCTCAGCTGTGTAAGCTTCTGTGTCTTTTATACCTGGACCGAATTCTGTGTGTTCTGTGAAAACAGCCAAGATTACATTTTCCCCATAGAGACTTTCAGGAGACTTGAAGGAAGCTTCTCACAGCTTCCAGACATAGACTGCCACAAGAACCCTCCTTTCCTTGTCCTGCTGGTGGCATCCTCGTGCCACCACGTGGATGCCAGGATGGCCATCCGGCAGACCTGGGGCAAGGAGAGAACAGTCTTTGGGAAGCGCTTGGTGACATATTTCCTCCTGGGAAGCACTGTGAATCCCAGCCAGCAGGCTGACATTGCTGCTGAAAGCCAAAAGTACAAAGACATCATCCAGAAGAACTTTACAGACACCTATTACAATTTGACTTTGAAGACCATGATGGGGATTGAATGGATTCACAGGTTTTGCTCCCAGTCCAGCTTCGTGATGAAAACCGACACAGATGTGTTTGTCAATGTTTTTTACCTCACTGAGCTGCTTCTAAGGAAAAAGAAGACCACTGGATTCTTCACAGGCTTTTTAAAGCTGCATGAGTACCCCATAAGGAAAAGAGGGAGCAAGTGGTATGTGAGTAGAGAAGAGTATCCAGGAAAGACCTACCCACCGTTTTGCTCCGGGACTGGCTATGTGTTATCCACCGATGTTGCTAGTCAGATCTATAATGTTTCTGAGAGTGTATCATTCATTAAACTGGAGGATGTATTCATAGGGCTGTGCCTTGCCAAATTAAAAATTCAGCTGGAGGAGCTTCATTCAGAGCAGACATTTTTCCCAGAAAGGATTAAGTTCTCTGTTTCTCGCTTTAAGAGAATCGTGATGTGCCATGAAGTAGAACCAGCTGAGCAGCTGAGCTACTGGAATCACTTAGTGGCAGAAAATCATGGAGGAGTGCTCTAGCACCTTCCTTGCTTGAATTAACAAACTGAAATGTTTTGACAGGAGCTTTTACAGGGCTGCTCCTGACGCCAGCAAAACTCCCAATTAACTCCAGATCCATCACGTTAAAGACTTTTGGAATGGTTATTTTAATCATAGAATCATTGAGGTCAGAAAAGACTTCCAAGATCATCAAGGCCAACCTTTGACCAAACACCATCCTGTCAACTAGATCAAAGCACTAAGTGCCACATCCAGTCACTTCTCAAGCACCTCCAGGGATGGTGATTCCACCACCTCCCTGGGCAGTGCATTCCAATGCCTGACCACCCTTTAAATTCTCAATTTCTGCCCCAGAACCTCCAAAGCTCTTTCTCTCCCATTCACTCCTACCTCTTTGCATCCCTCCTCTACACAATTCACAATGATTATTTTCATGCTGAAAGATCCAGGCCTGACAACCTGCCCTCCAAATCTTGCTGCTGTAGAGGACTGGGAACATTTTCACAGTGCTAAGTGAATGGTCAAAGCACTTTTGTCCAGAGAATAAAATCCACACCTTCTTCCTGGTTGCCCGTGATAGATTCCTGCACCCATCTGTGCAGGCATTTAAGGAATGATATTTGTAGCTGTCAGGACTCTCCCCTCCTGGTGTAAGAAACTCAGCCCTGCCCTTGCAGCCAGTGCTGTGTGGGCTGAACTGCCTCCTGGCACAGATCCCTCTTTCAGTCTACACAAACGTTTTTTGCAGAGATGGAACAATTTGTCCATGCAATGCTCTTGGGACAACCTTGGGGACTGCAGGTCACCTGGTGAACTGTGTAAGGCTGCTGCATCTGTGTCCTTGGATGTGCCTCCTGCTGAGAATAATCTGTGGTAGAGCCAGTGGAGGGTGGCCTGATCTTTCTATTCAAATAGATCACAGGGACATCTTTTATACTTGTGTCTAACTTTGATTGCCTGAAAGCTACTGTGAGTGGTTTGCCAAGGCTAAACTAGAGTCACTTACAGTGATTTTGACATTTTTTTTTGCTGTGAGAAACTGGGTGTGTGAGAGAGGAGATGGGAGGATTTTTCTCTTTCAAACAAGACCTAGTGGGAAAATGTGCTCAAGAAATCACTCAGACTGGGAATCTTATTTCTTATTTCATTACCAAGCAAAGACTCATGAAATGACTGCGATATCTGTAGGTTTCAGAGATAAGGAATTGAGTCTTTACAGTAGATGCTGTGAGAAGTACATTTGGGCTATGGAGAGGGAGAAGGGAGCTCATAAATCAAGCGTTATGCAATGCTCCTATTTGATTTTCTTTCACACTAAGTAAAGGTCAATTTTAGCAACAGAGGAGTATCAAAGGCCTATAATATGTGTGAAATGCTTATTTATTTAAAATTCAGCTGTTTTCTGACTACTTTTGCTGCTGCCTTCAGCAGGTGTGATGGGTCAGGCTGATAAAGCCAAGCAACACCTTTCTAATCACTGTTCTTTCCATGTAAGCTGCAGAAATGTCTTTTTGCCATTCGTTGCTCTTGTGCCCAACATGCAAATTGGCTATTGCTTTAATTTCTGGAAAAATATTGAGCATAAAGAAATGCTTCCTGGCCTCTCCTAGCTCCCTGTGTGGTGGGGTAGAGGGTCTGGGAGCTGGGACAGCATCATCAGCCTAATGTTCAGTCTGGATCCTTCTTCTTCTCAGAGATAACAATACAGTAATAATAATAATAATAATAAAATAATCCTGCAGTCACTTGTAGGTCTCACTTCCACCTCTGTGCCTGGTGCCAACCTTATCCCAGCAGGTAGGACTAGTCCAACCGTGCAGTCCCAGGGAACCTGTACCTTGTTAGGATTGCTCTTCACCTACATACAGATGTGTTGACTTGTTCACCTCCATTGGGCATTGAGATCCAAGAAGTTTGGTGGCACCTGACTCCTGGGATAGTGCAGCTCCTGGTCTTCTCTCAAGCTGAGTTGATGGGAAGGGACCCACAGGCTCAGGGCCTTGAGGGCCAAGTTCTGCTAGACCTCTTGGCTGTAGCTTTTATTTTAGTGCGGGACTGTTCTTAACTACTTGAACACAGCTGACTGGGAAGATGGTGCTATTCTCTGTTAATCACTTTTGCCAACTCTAGCACTATATTTTCAGTGCTAAATTCTAGTGGAAGGTGTCCCTGCCCATGACAGGGGATAGAACTACATGATCTTTAAGGTCCCTCCCAACCCAAACCATTCTATGAGTCTATGAAAGTCAGAGCTATTGTGTCATTGGGAATAAGGTCGTCAAGCATGTTCTAAGAAAATCTCATTCTGGGTATTGTTTCCAGGGATTCTATAAGTAATTTCAAACAATCTGTGCAGGATGCTCCTGTTGCTGCCTTCGAAATATTTTGTCCCCATTGAATACATGTTGTTAAGCATTTGATTGACTATCTATAAGTATTTGGCTTACCACTGCTAAATCTCTGAGGAGTAAATGATTACAGGTTGAAATGTTATGGATTCAGATAGCCTGTCCCTCTCCTCTTTGCAAAGTAGCTTCCCAAGTGAATGCTTTAAGAGGATGCACATCATTTTCCTCCACATATGATTTTGTTTGTGCTGCCATAAATTAGAAATTTATGGCATAATTCATAGGATCATAGGCTCATTAGTGATGGAAAAGATATCCAAGGCCAAGTCCAACCATTAACCCAGCACTGCTAGGTCCATCACTAAACCATGTTCCTAAGAACACATCTACACATTTTTGAGCACTTCCAGGGACGGCGATTCCACCTCTGCCCTTGGCAGCACATTCCAGTGCTTGATAAGTCTTTCAGTGAAGAATTTTTCCCTAACATCCAATGTAAACCTCCCCTGATGCATCTTAAGGCCATTTCCTTTCATCCTGTCATTCCTTACCTGGGAGAAGAGGTCAATCCCCACCTTGCTACAACCTCCTTTCAGGGAGTTGTAGAAAGCAATGAGGTTCCCCCTGAGCCTCCTTTTCTCCAGGCTAAGCACCCCATTTCCCTAGGCTGCTTTGAATAAGGATATAGCAAATGAATAATTACTTAAAATACAAGGTTACCCTGCTGGAAAAGGTGATTTAAGAAAAGCAGATGATTGCATGTAAGGCAAATTAATTTAGTTAAACAAAACCACTGTGCTACTGAGTTTATCTGTATCAGCTAAACGAAATTAGCTTTTGCACCTTAGGCCTCAGATCATGAATTTTAACACAATCAAAACAGTATTAGTGGCTTTTTGCCAAATTACATGTATTCTCCTCTGAAAGACCATCACAAAAAGGTCAGAAATATAACTAGAACTGTTGACACAATACTGCAGTGTAGATACACTTGTTTTTTTAGTTTTGTATAGGCTAACAAAAGATTTCAGGCAATTTTGGGGCAGTTTGTCTGTGAAAGTTGAGCCCTACCCTAACATTTTTATGTTTTCTGGGTCAGAAGATCAATAAATGATTTTTTTTATGAATAGCTTTGAAAAGGTCTTCTAAAAGTTACTCCATTGCTCCTCATTTAAGTAGGGAGGAGGATAAAAATCAACAGAGCTGATGGTGTCACAGTTTTGCATTTCAGCACTGTTTCTTCCAAGATCAGTTTTTGAATAGTGAAAAACTAATGCATTTTCCCCCCCCATCTCTAACTCATCAACCAACATATTCTTAGTTTAGGTTAGGGTTTTAAAAAAATGTCTGTGAGGGATTAGCTCCTCTGATTCTGTCTTTCTGAGGTATAACCCCTCTAGGCACTTCTGGGAACACAGGGTAGATTTTTGTAATGAAACATTTGCCTTACGTCCAAGCTGAACAGAACACAAGGGCTAATGGTCTGTACTGGATCTGACAGGAATCTCTTCTTGGATTTGTGCAGGTTGCTCTATGTTAATATAAAATGTGTGACAATATTTGCATAGAACAGGAGAATGTTGAGCCAACTATTCAATGTATGATATTTTAGTAAAGTATTTTGTTACCACAGTTTCGTGTGTTTGTGTGTCTTTTTGGGTTGTGAACGTATTGACATTCTGGGGTTGTTGTCAAGTTAGGAGGTTGCTCTTTTTCCAGTTAAAATTAATAGGATAATAGACTCAGTTAGATTGGAAAAGACCTTTAAGATCATTGAGTCCAACCACTAACCCAGCACTGCCAAGGCCACCACTAAACCATGTCCTCAGTGCCCAACAGCTACATGGCTTTTAAATCCCTTCAGGGATGGTGACTCCAACACTTCCCTGGGCAGCCTGTTCCAATGCTTGATCACCCTTCCCATGAAGACATTCTTCCTAATAGCCAATATAAACCTCCTCTGGCTCAACTTGGTGCCATTTCATCCTGTCACTTGTTACATGAGAGAAGAGACCAACCCCCACCTCACTACAACCTCCTTTCAGGGAGTTGTAGAGGGTGATAAAGTCCCTGAGCCTCCTTTTCTCCAGGCTGTGGTCCCCCCCAGCTCCCTCAGCTGGGAGGACTTGTGCTCCAGACTCTTCCCCATCTCTGATCCCTTCTCTAGACATGCTCCAGCACCTCAATGTCTTTCTTGTCATGAGGGACCAAAAACTGATCTCAGGACACAAGGTGTGACCTCCCCAGTGCCCCCACAGAGGGACAACCACTGCCCTGGGCCTGTGGCCACACTAGTGCTGATCCAAGTCAGATGCCACTGACCTTCTTGCCCACCTGGGCACACTCTCCCTCATGCTCAGCCACTGCCACCAGCACCCACAGGTCCTTTGCCACCTGGCACTTTCCACCCACTCTGCCCCAGCCTGGAGAACTACAGGGGGTTGGTGTGACCCAAGTGCAGGACCTGCCACTTGGCCTTGTTCAATCTGAATCTAAGTCTGTTGAATTTTCTCCCCTTCTCGAAAATGCCTTAGGGAATAGCAAGGAAATTGATAAAAGCTAAATTTAACCACAGCTGATAGAATTGGAAGATCAAGATCCAGCCTGAAATGACTTTGCCTGTGCCACCGAGGCACAGTTTGGCTGTCCCTGGCTGATAATGATCCTTGG